GTTTGTGGAGGAACTCACTGTTTGACTAAATGTATAAATGTTATCAGTGAAAAAGGAAGTGAATTGGTCGCATGCGCTGGTGGATTGAAGCTCAACAGCCATCAACACCACACAGTGATAAACGTATTTCAACATTAAACAGGAAGTTTCTCTAACAGTTACTTCCCTGTCTTTACTGTTAACCAAGAGGAAGTGGGCTGTACTTTTACAACTTAGCGGAACCACAGTGTTTTGGCGGTAAAGGCTTCTATATATGTATATATATATATATGGTATAGGGAGTAGGGGAGAGCAGGGTAATGTGAGATACTTTTTACACTTGCTTCCCTCTAGGCGAGCTAACATGATATATCAGTAAAATGTATACATTTCCCATTAATTCAGGCTGTTTCCTAGTAATGGAAATTATCAGAATGTCCTCAGGACGAAGGGCAGTAGAAATATGAAAGTTTTTTTTTTTTTAAGTGGTCATTAAAATTTTAAAAATTTAAAAATCCTGACAGCCAGATTGACAACCAGACTTTCCAAAACTAATATCGGACTAGTAACAGAATCGTGGGGATTAGTAATTTAAGCACATTTATTTAAACACTTGAAAGTAACTCCGAACAAAATCATATGCAACAAAATATGAATCCAAATGTTTTAATTAACGTTCAAATGACAGATAGAACCAGTTAGATTAGAACATGGTCATGGGACCATAATCATATGTGTTGGATTTCACGAGGAGACGCATATGCAGGTTGGCTGAGAACACGTAGCACGTAGCAAGTGGACGGACCAGTGGACGCAGGACTCAGGATTTGGCCGCTCTGACACCATGGATGGTGCAAACGCTTCCTCAGGAAAAATATCTCGGTCATATGGGAAAATCCCAGTGGCCTTGAATCCAGAGGTGATATTACGTGGTGTACTGCTGACAAGAAGGCCTCGTTCACAAGTCCTGCAATCTGGTAGATGGAGACTGTTTTGCCAGGGTTAGACGTCACCATCAAGAGCTCGGCTGTGTAGGGTCTTGGCAAGCCCCGCCCCTCCCTCCTCCTCCTCCTCCTCCTCCTCGTGCTCGTGCTGAGCGCCAAACAGCTGCAGCATCAGACAAACAGGTGATGACGCTGTTTGTGCATAAATTAACCGTCACTAGCGCCGCTGAAAACATTACGTCGCAAATCCGGGATTTCAAAGGCTTGTCCAGCTGTTTACTGAGAGGAAGAGAGTTACAGACGAAGAATATAAAACATTTTTGTTAAAGAACAGGCTTACCAGCACCAACGTGTCCTTCATGGAAAGGGTGGAATAGGGGGCTTGAAATCCTAATGGTCGCATGGGTCTCACGTTACACCGCCCATTACACCGCCCTAAACCCCACAATGAACCATTAGACACGTGGAAACAAAGACTGAGAAGGATCCTCGTCCGGGAGTGTTATTTTATTCTTAACTCTGTAAATGGATTAAAATGAAACTCTGACTGAGGAGTTTACTTGTTGAAGAGCTTCAGTTCTCATCACTCAAGACGTCCATGGTAAAGAGAGAATGACTTATGATTATATTAACATTTATTATGAGAGGATTCGTGGATCACCAAATATATTTGCGGGTAATCTTTTTTTTGTAATTAAATATAATTC